TACATTTGTGCTTTAAACAAATAAACCCAGTATCTAAAAGCAACCAGTGCTGCAAGGGTCCACCTCCCTCTCCTACCCTGGCAGGGCAGCGGGGGGTTAACACGGTTACCCCCACTGAAGCTTTCCCACTGGCAAGAGAAAGTGGGCAGCAAGAGAAAGTGGGCAGCAAGAGAAAGTGGGCAGCAAGAGAAAGTGGGCAGCAAGAGAAAGTGGGCAGCAAGAGAAAGTGGGCAGCAAGAGAAAGTGGGCAGCAAGAGAAAGTGGGCAGCAAGAGAAAGTGGGCAGCAAGAGAAAGTGGGCAGCAAGAGAAAGTGGGCAGCAAGAGAAAGTGGGCAGCAAGAGAAAGTGGGCAGCAAGAGAAAGTGGGCAGCAAGAGAAAGTGGGCAGCAAGAGAAAGTGGGCAGCAACAGGGCTTAGGGATCAGCTATAAAAGAAAAATTAGAAGCAAATAAATCAAACGGGCTATGACTTTTTATTTGCTTCTGGTTTTCCTTGCTTTTATAACAAGTAACACGCCCAATTTTATTTTCCAGTGGAAGAGTTAAAGCAACGCCCTTCCTGCTGCATCATCACAAAATAACGGCAGCTGCTTTGCTGCGTAAACGTGAAAACATCTCAGATATATATACGAAATATTTTGATAACCAACGAAGGACTGTTGTTGCTTCAGCTGTTGGATGCCCCAATAAAATGGAACTCATGCTTGGAAAACGTTAGGCAATCATTACTTCAAAATTAGGTCCCTTTAAATTGTCCCACTTGTGAACTACCAAAACCGAGACAACCAAACCATAAATCTCTTGTAAAACTCTTGCTGCCCACATTCAGAGGGTTTGGAGTATCTCCAGTATCTTCCATCTTCTCACCTTTGGATGAGGAAAACGGACCTTCGCTACTGCACAGCTCAGGTAACATTTCATTTCAGGACAAGGCCTACAATAACAAGTGGTTCCTACTTTGCTCAAGCAGCAAACTACTTGTAGACATTGATCTCTGTTGGTTTTGCTCTCATATAAACCACATTAAAAGCACTACTTCAGAGAAGAAACCTATCCCAGCAGCGTTCTTCACAAATTTCACCACTGCTACCCCAATATGGATGGACCAGATCAAAGACGGGACAAATTATCAAAAAAAAATGCTACAGCACGTGTTGTAAGTCAATAACTGCTAGTCAACCTCATGAACCTGTGACATATTCTCACACCTTCTGCCTCTTTCAGTAATAATTTTAAATTTTTACATGCTTAACCACTCAATGGAAGGAAAGTTGTAACGACTGGTCAATCCTTGGATCTGTCTAACTGTTTCATACTGGTTATTCGTCTGGGGAAAAAAAAAAAGTCATGCTTATCCCTTACATCTGCTGGTGACACTGAGATTGTTCTTACCTGTATGAACACGGTGAAGAGGATGACAACAGTTGTTGCTGCAATGAAGAGCTTCTTTCTGTGAAAGTCAGGAAGCAAGAAAACCAGAGAGAAACAAATGGCTCCTCGGAGACCCCCGTACGCGATAATGAATTGGTCTTTGCTGGTGATGGTGTTCACGTGAAATCTGTTCACAAAGAAAGTCAGCACGAGAACCCCTGAAAAGCAGGAAAGAAGATGGGAGCACATCAAACAAAAAGAAAGCAATTAGGTAAAACTCATCATCTTATGATATATTTTACAGTAAAACATCACTGAACTGGTAAACACCGATCACAAGGAACCGGCCAAGGGCCCAAGGTGGTATATTCCCAATATGCCACTGGAGAAGGGCTTTTCTTCCAGCCTAGTTCAGCAGGTTTGCATTGTCCAGATAAAAATTAACCCCCAACACATTTCTGAGATGGGGGATCACAAACACCATCGTCTGGCCGCAGTTCCGAGGGTCTGTATGACTACAAAACATCAGGCAGCCCATCTTGTGGCAAACTCGTGTTTTTTAACTCACCCTTGTGCTTATCACAGTCCAGCACCTTCAGAAGGATTTTTAGTGAAGGTGTTGTAGTGTCACCCTGATCCCCAGAACGCACCGTTTACCTGGTGACTCGGTGTTAAGCATCAACTAAACACCAAACCAACAGCTATTGGTAACAGGATGCATCAGCACGTTTGCTTTGATGGCAACGACAGTTTTTAGGGCAATTCCACGGTCCTGTGCCAGCTGAAACTTTGACTTGTATAACACTACGGAGCCAGATTCTGAGAAACGAACTAAAATATTAATTGATTTGTTCTAATTGGTGATAACGAACGATCGAGCTGCTTGGATTATAAATGCTCTCGAGGCAAACCATCAGCAACAATTTAGCCACGAGTTACCCTCCAGTTTCCAAAAGTCTCCAAGCAGTAGCTTAGACCAGTAGCCATATTCTGCCTGGGTTAACGTTGTTTCTTCACAAATCTCACTCCCAGATTGCTACTGTGAGAATTTAAGACTACGTAAGGCGGCGACAGAGCAATTGATGTAATTCATAGTCATCTGCAAATATATAAACAGATGGAGAAAAGTACAAAAAGTCAGGCCTTGAATCAGTAGGCTGAGATCTTAACACCAACATGTATGATAAATATCTTATTTCCTGAAGATTAACGGCCATCATCGTTGACTTTCACTAGGAATTAGCTGGATCCACATCACTGTTGCTTTTCCAAGGGGTATTTGTAAAAGAAATAAACTCCAAAACCAGCACACTTGTACAAATCAAACACCTTCTCACATGCGTACAACAGAAAACATCTGAACTCGGACTGCACATCACAGAGGTTTGAAGAAAAAAAAAAAAAACAAACACAACTGGGGATGGTCAGGAATAGGGAACTCAATGGACTGAACCTTCCAACACCTTCCCCATCACCGGAGCTCTGTGGAGTTGGTGCCCAGCCCAGCAGATGTGAAATGCTTTGGTTTCAAGGTTCTTTGTAACTTAAAAATAAACAAATAAATGAAAGCAAGCATATCTCAGATCACATCTGTGGCCACTGTAAAGCTCAGGCAAGGCTATTTATTTAAAGGAAAAAAAATTACTTGAGCTGATATCCTGGTCTTTGTCTTAATTTAGTCCTTCCTCATAAATTATTATTAGTATTCCCTAAGCTAATTCAAGGCCAGTTTGCTCCAAGAAACGATGTACAATTAATCATTTTGAGCAGAACATATTTTCTTCTGGAGAGGTATCTTGAGGAAGAGCAGAAGGAAATCTCCCTAGTGCTTGGATAACGGTAGAACACTAGTGCTGTCATGCAATTCATCTGGTTTGCTTTTGAGATGTTATCTCTTATATCCAAGTCATTCCAGTTCCCAGGCTTCAGCAGAATCATTTCTCATCTCAAATTCTCATGCCAATCCATTTATTGGACTGGGAAGGTCCAATAAAGGACTAGAGTACAGCTTACTCGCTAACCCCAGCACCGTCAACCCAAAAGTTCCCAAATTCCTGCAAGCAAACTCTGTGGGTGCCTCCCACTGCTGGATCAGTGCCTTGAGCACGTCCAGAGCTGCAGGACAGGTCTGAGCAGGTCAGGGGCTGATCCCAACCACCACCTCCTCCACCCCAGGAGTTTTCCAGCCCGGCTTCGCACAGCACCCTGCCCGACTCACCTACAGCTCCCCAGCAAGGCGCTGCAGAGAAGGGACACCCTGTTCAGGATCGGATGTGCAAGACAATTTTCAGCCCTGGTTTGTGTGTTCCCATTTAATTCAAAGAGGATTTTGAGTGGAAAGAGAGTTTTCTTTCCCGGCTGCAGCGCTGAGCCCTTCTCTAATAACGTGCTGCATCATTTGGGAATGCAATCAGAAGAGCTGCGTTTAGAGAGCAAGAGGATTTTCGGTGTGCTTTTGTAACATCCCCGTGCTCCTTACGTCTTGCAATGAAGAACTTTTGAACTCAAAAAAAATTCAAACTCCCTCAGAAGTTCTACTCATTTGAGCAAATAATTTAAGAAAAAAACCCACTTTATCATAATAAAACATTCAAACACACGCACAATTGACTAATAAGCATGTTTCCAAGGGCATTTATGGTGCAGAGTTATTAAAAGAAGCCTTGGCATGTGCTAACAGCTAATAAAACCCATTCTGCTACGTCTTACTAATCACGGCCCGTCCTATTTAAGCAATTTCTTGAAGTGTCTATCAAATTTGAGCTCACTCCGTTTGACTCAGTGGTTTGTAAACATAAATCCTGTTGAATGCTTGTTTAGCTCGCAAATATGTTGGAGATATCCCTGTTCCTTGCAGGGGGGTTGGACTAGATGACCTTTGAAGGTCCCTTCCAGCCCTAACGATTCTATGATTCTATGATTCTTTGCCAAAATGTGCGCTCTGTTATATTTGCAGATGTTGTTAATACATAAAAACACCCGTCAATGAGAAGGCGCTCGCTCAGGAGACAGTAACTGCACGCTGGAAGAGGCGATGGAGAACCAGCCTGTGAGGTTGGCCAAACATTGCCATAGGTTTCCCAGGAAGGCTGTAGAGTCTCCATCCATGGACATAACCAAAAGCCGTCTGGAAGCGGTCCCACCTAGCTGACCCTGCTTAAGCAGGGGGTTGGACCAGATGATCTCAAGAGGTCCCTGCCAACCTCAGCAGCTCTCTGATTCTATGCAACTCTGTCGTTCTCAGTCCTTATCTAAAGCTCTTGAGTAGGAGCAGAAGCATCCTCACCTTTTAGGTGCCAATTCTCATACACCCAGCAGTAAGCTGGGTAGATGCTTTTCTGTAAAGCAGAACAGCATCTCCAGGGACAGCTGTTGGAAGGTTCCTCCAGCTTGCCATTTAAGGATGCTGCTGTACACAAACTTGTTAAGAATCAAATCCCTCAAATCTCGGCAATTCAGAACATGCAGTCAGAGGCCCCGTGGTTTTACACGGCGCTCTGATCCCAAGCCATGTGCTTACATCCTCCAATTGTAAGGATACTGGGAGACTAAGATACACTGAAACAGAAGAGGAGATCACGGTAAGCAAAGGAGGGCCTAAGACAGAGGTATCAATAAAATAGATGTCATGAGAAATCCTACTTAGCCCCAGTGCTGTCTCTGGCGAGTGCACAGACTAGAAAATTGCAGTAAGACCCAAGATGTGCTTTTGAGCCAGACATCAGTGATGGAGGAGGAGGGAACAGCAGCTGGAGCATGCTGTCTCAGTCCTTGCATTCACACCTGTGATAACCACATGTACAGAGGGAGCAGGAAAGGATGGTGGTGGGGGCAGGAGCATTCTCTCATTTCATGGAATCGCATTTTTGACTGCCATAAATAAATACATCTGTAATTTCACCATACCTAGTGCTCTCCAAATGAGACAGAAAATGACAGTGAAGCAAATGTACGGCCAGTTCCACTCATGATTTTCTCCGATGGTGGAAACTCCAAGAAAGATGAAGATGAGGGTATCACTAACACTGCTCCACATCTTCATGAAGTATTTGACCGTGGTGTGAGACTTCAGAGAGATGTTGGCCTCCACGTAGCGTTTCATGCCCATGGCACAAGCAATGATGCTGAGAAAATGGAAATGAGACAATAGATTTTTCTTAAGCACACAAAATTGACACATTGTCATTCATAAAAAATACAAGCTTCGTCAAGTCTTAGATATTTGCAGGCATCTCACTGGGTAGGGATTCGCTTCCTACATCAGTCCAATAATATCAGGAGACCCACTAGGACTATATAGGTTGACCAGGCTGTCTGAATCTCTGTTTTAACAGATAAACAACTCACCATCTATTGCATTCATCATAGCCACACAGCAATATCTACAATTAACTACACCCAGCTCTTCCCATCACAACGCACTGTTCTCAGTTCTTTCACTTTGACAAATTCTAGCCACCTGGGCTGAAGAGCTTTGTGCTTAGGAGCCCACATTACCTGTTCTGCCCAGATGAAAGACAGACATTTGAGAGAAGGGAAGACTTGTTTCTCAGCATGAGAAACATGTAAGCAGGACTCCTGTGAGTCTGGTTGATACCTGGTCACCATAGCTCAACCCTGTAGGACTCATAATCCATGTTGTACTCCTTCACCCAAGGGACCAAAGCCAACCTAAAGTTGGAGAAACTCAAGCACACGACGTACCTCACACTGTGTATTTCTAAGCCTGACTGGACTTGCACTGTATGTTACTTGGGCAGAGCTAGGAAGCCATTGACTCCGTGCAAGCAAGAGACAACAAAATGCTCAAGCACACTCGTGAGGCTGCACAACGAGGCAAGAAATGCTGTCGCCATCGTCGGTCCATTTGACTTCCTCAGGTATTGCATATCCAAGGTCACTTCGGAAGGATGCAGCACCAATTAAAACTTCTGCCTTGCAATTTTTCATGGATAATTGGTTCTTCAAGTTACAGGGTACATGTGGTTAGCCTAATTCATCAGCTTTCCAAATCAATACATTTTCAGGCCAGCAACTTTAGAAGGTCAAAACAATTGAGCGCTCAAAGAACTGAAGCTCCGTTTTTTATATTTTAACCTGGACAGAAACATTTCGTTCTATATATTGCACCAGCAACTGCAAAACAGCTTTATGTTTTTGAGATCTGATTTCCACTGGTATTTAGTACGGCCATCCACATGGAGTTTGATTGCATTAAAGAAAAAAATCCTTTCACAGGGGACATCATAGTAACTCTCTTTATAATATAGCACATGCACACAAGCCCACAGAGAAGCAGCTCCTCAGCTTGCAGAAGTGCACCTGGGTCTGGCAGACTGACTTGAAACACCAGCTGTGACCAGGACAAGAGACCCATATAGGTGTAAATCGGTGTTGAGATAAGTGGTGGCCTCCACAGCACGTTATCCATAATGTATCCTTTCAGCTAAGAACTATTCAGAAAACATCCATGCAACCACTGCTTTGGGGTGAAAACGTCACATTTACGCCCAGAATTTCACACGGGAGATTCTTTGCATTATTTGGGCTTTGATGGATTTATTTCAGGAGGATCCCATTGGCCACTGCATTGCTGCTGAGAAAAGCAGAGCGAGGGCCACTTTCCTTCTGACTCATCAGGGGATCACGAGCTCATCTTCACCGCTACAACTCTGCATCTATTGTTGGACCAAGACAAAGGAGTGAGCAAGAACTACATTCATTTCTGCTCTACTTAAAGCACTAAGAAAATCAGCAACAGTATTATGGGAAAACACTTACCAGATGTTGGGTCAGAACAACAAATAAAAAATTATGAGGAAAAAAAAATACTTTTGGGAATGAAGACACACTTCCACCCACTGTGAGTCACTGACTACTGGGCTTTGCACTCAAACAAAAAAAAAAAAACCCAACAAATGCACATATTTCAATTTCTTTCATTTAAAAATAATTCTTCTTTGGTTTTCCTCATTGCCATGAAAAAGCCATACTTTTTTTGAAGGAGAAACATATCTGGGTTTGTCTGAAATTAAAACTGGCTTTCAGGGAAAGGCAGTGAAGGCACAGGGTACGAAAGGTGAGACTCAGGAAAGATCCCATTTTATCCAGCAGCCTGAGACCAAGATCCAAATCCCTTTTTCATCTAATGTTGTTTGAGTTCACATCTTTCATCTCCCAAGAAAACGTACCAATACTTAAAAATATTCTGAAATTCGTCTTTATAATTTATCCTTTTTAGGCTGACCCACTTTGCATAAAAGTACTGAGCCAGAAAGAGAAACAGGGATTGAACCACAAGCTCAAGAAAAATAAAATAAAAAAATATTCTTCTATTTCTGTATTTGCCTCAATAAATTGTGGGTAAAATACTTCCAACTAGGAACTAAGAGATCCAACAAGTATTTATGAGAAGTGACTTCCAGAGCCATGGTTTGGGAACATTTCTTGGGAAAAGGCTACGAGTTTACACCAGATTCACAGACAGGGAATAAACTTGACCTGTTCTGCCACAGCTTCAAAGATGGACACTGCCACTAGGGCAAGGGAAAAAAAATAAAATTTAAAAAAAATTAAATTAGAAAACATTTCCAGAACTGTTTAGCAGATTGGGTGGCATTCACAGATTTTTTTTTTTTGACTATAGATTTTTTTTTTTTTTGGCAATCAAATTATTTTTTCAAAGAAACAAACTGCCAAGATTTGCTTTTTATAATACAGTACTCCCTGGTCACAGGTGAATTAATTGTTTAAAATCAAGATATATAAAAGAGGCATTTATAATTTGGCAATTGTAAGACCAGCAGTGCAGGAATCAGCTGCCTTTGCAATTGTTTTGCTTTAGAAACAATGCATTATTCAAAAGAACAGAAAATGGGTTCCATAATGGGTACAGAAGATTGTCATTGATAGAAGGAGACACCATTAGGACAGAATATTTTCTGCCCCACGATGATTATGCAGCATATTTATTCCACTGTTCTGCCTTACGCTCCTATAAATAGGCTTTCCCTTACCTATTCCCAGAGCTAGAATTGTTTTCGGGAATGCTACGACATCAACCATTCCAGGAAACAAAATCTGCAAGATATAGGAATGGTTTCTATCCAAAGCAGCATCATTAGTTTTAAAATAGATCTCCCAGATACTCCTGTGTCTAGCTGGTGCCTGACTTAATTTTTTTATTCTCTTATCTTCGTTATTATCAGCTTTCCAGCTGTTTACACTGTGGCTATCAGT